CAAGCATAGAGCTCATATTACAGAGAGGATCCATTTGCTCAGGCCCTTGACTGCAGCCTACAGGGAGATATGATTCAATCAACGTCTCCTCACCGTCATAAGTCTGCCTTTGTCAACCCCTGCCCGACCGCAGCGAGTGTAATTGCATGCGGACAAACCTGCACCAAGGGCAGGAGAGTTAGAAAATTCAGAAGTGAGGGTAAAAAAAACACGCAAAGAGACTTACAGAACAGGCACTCTTTAATGGGAACACCAATCGTTACAGGAAGTTTAAAAAACATTGCGTGGAGCACTTCTAGGACGAACGTACGCTTAGAGCGCGCCAGCGACGCATTACTCAGCGAAGAAGTGCTGACGGTGTTGTGTCTCTCCTCGTGCGGCCTCGGCGCGGGGCGATCGCTGCCTCAGCGGAACCGATCCAAAGCGCTGTCTGGCCCGGCGAGCTGAGCCATGGCAGAGGCAGGCCCGTCGTCGCGTGCTAAGCATGCGGAACTGTCTCTCTTAGTACGCCAGTGCTTTTATTCTGCAATAACACATTTCATTAAGAACCCTATCCAAGGTAAAAGCTCAAAAAGGAAAGGGGAAATATATATGAAAAGTGAGGGAATAGTAGGGTTTATAGACGGGGCTTCTATAATGCTAAAGGCGATTTGGATGGAGAAAAAAGTCCATTTTAACTGATGCGTTGCCAGCAGGTGTGTAAAGCAGAGATGAGTTCACCATAAGCGGCGCAGTTCAGTGGCCGGGAAAGCGACAGTCTCCGGGACGTTGGAGAGTTGTCAGGCGACGCCGCACATAGCACACACTTTGTCTCCGTCTGGAACTTAAGAAATTGATGTTTGCACTGTTCTTACTCCTTACAGCGGCGTTTGCAGCTTTCTGTGCTGCCTCAGGTAACTGGTCCTAAAGGTCAGGAAGGGACGAAATACCGGGCAGACGAGTGGCAGACCGTTTCGGTGTGCCTGAGGTCGGTGTGTTGGTCAGTCAGGAGTTGCAGGGTTCCTTCCGGTTGGGAAGTCACCAGTGGCATTAGGGTTGAACCTAGGGATTCTGGACCGCAGGAAGTACGGGGTTCCGGCTGATGCTCTATATCAGGTTGCTGTCGGTCAGATGTCAGTCCTGGTGTGAGGAGGTCCTCTGTTGTATTTGTCATTGCCCTGTATGTTTGTCCATTCTCCGTTTGCAAGATGATGTTAGGTTGCGGATCTTAAAAAGAGTCCGGTATTGGTGAAATGTTTGAATGGTGGACGTCTATTTTCCTCCCCGTTGCTTCCTCCACGAGGTTAAATGTCACTGGTGACCTAACTTTTGTGATTCTGAATAGTCAGCCCCTTTTGGTGGCGAGTTGAACGCGATTGACCGATATTGATGGTAGGAAGCGTGCTTGTGCAGTTTTTCTGTTGATGGTCTTTCGCGATTTTCTGAGCGTTAGACTCGGCAGCGTGCGCGTGGGCAATTTGGAGTCTTCTGTTAAGGAGGTCGTGGTATGGCAGTTCTGCCGTGCACGGAAGGGACGGCTCCAGTATTTCTGCCCCAGGCATTCGAAAGTGACGACTGATCATGAGGTAGGCAGGAGTTTCTTGTGTTAGCCCGTTCGCCCGCGTGCCGTGCTAGCAAGCGAACGTCTCTCTTAGATACTCGCAGTACTTATTCTTGCAAAACACATCTTAAGAACCCTACCCAAGGTAAAAGCTGAAAAGGAAGGGGGAAATAAATGTTGACAGAAAAGTGGCGGGGAAAAGTAAGGTGTATGACAGGCTTTCAAAAATGCTAAATGCGATTTTTGAAAAAAAATGCATTTATTTGATGCGTTGCCAGCAGGTGTTGCAAAGCAGAGATGAGATTCAGCCAGTAAAGCGGCCTAGTTCAGTGGCCGGCGATAGCGACCAGTCTCCGGGACGGTTTGGAGAGTTGCCAGGCGACGCCGCACTTAGCACCACACCTTTGTTCTCCGTCTGGAACTTAAAAAATTTGATGTTTGCACTGTCTCTTATCTTACAGCCTGCGTTTGCGCTTTCTGTGCTGCCTCAGGTAACTGGTCCTTAAAGGTCAGGAAGGCAGACGAATACTGGCAAGACGAGTGGCAGACCGTTTCGGTGTGCTGAGGTCGGTCGTGTGTAGGTCAGTCAGGAGTTTGCAGGCGTTCCTCCGGTTGGCGAGGTGTCGACCAGTGGGCAATTAGGGTTGAAACCTAGGGATTCTGGACCGCAGGAAGTTATCGGGCGGGTTCCGGCTGAGCTTCTATATCAGGTTTGCTGTCGGTTCAGATGTCAGTCCTTGGTGTGAGGAGGTCCTCTGTTGTATTTGTCATTCCTGTATGTTTGTCCATTCTCCGTTTGCAAGATGCATGTTTAGGTCTGCCGGATCTTAAAAAGAGTCCGCTATTGGGGAAATGTTTGAATGGTGGACCGTCGATTTTCATCCCCGTTGCTTCCTCCACGAGGTTAAAATTTCACTGGTGAGCCTAACTTTTGTGATTCTGAATAGTCAGCCCCTTTT